CTGCCAGCGGCTCCCGGGGGTGGAGGCAGGGCCCGGTCGAGTCATCCCTGCACCCCGGGCAGTGGGTGCGTGACGCATGCACGGCCCTGCCCCCTGGCGCTGCGCACCTTACAGATGCAATCGGGTGCCCCCCATAGGATGGCGCCCCAGGCGGCTGCCCGGCTAACCCCCCCTTAATCCAGCCCTGGGCGGGGGGCTGCTGCACAAGGCCCTTACTGTTCTCCAGTCTCTGCAGGCTCTTGCGCCCCTTGGCCTTCGGGATGAGGTCGGAGTTGCGGATGGCCTGGTTGATATAGTGCTGCTTCCGTTTGGAGGGGGAGAACCTCTTGGCGGGGCAGATCCCCAGAGGCGGCTGGCAGTCGTCAATCCTCCTGCAGAGACCCAGAGAACACACCGTGAGACGGGCCACCTGCTCACGTCCGGCAGCCGCCTAGGGCTGGCGCTGCGGGGAGATCCTGGGGACTGGGGGGCCACCAGCAGGCGGGGGGGGGGGTTCTTCCTAAACATTGTCTGCATGGCGGTATGAGGAGGAGGGAGAAAAATCCTTCTCCTTGGCCTCTGAGGACAGGCCAAGAGGCAATGGGCTTAGACTGCAGCAAGGGAGGTTGAGGTTGGACATTAGGAAAAACGTCCTAACAGCCAGGGTGGTGAAACAGCGGAATCAATTGCCTGGGGAGGTTGTGGAATCCCCGTCTCTGGAGAGACTGAATAGACACACACCTGTCCGGGATGATCTAGATGGAGCTTGGTCCTGCTGTGAGGGCAGGGGGCTGGACTCGATGCCTTTCGAGGTCCCTTCCAGTCCTAGTGTTCTATGATTAATACAACTTTGAAACTTTATTATGCTGAAAAAATGCTGCTGGTAACCATCTGAAACCACATGAAATAAGCCCAGAAGCAGTTTAATTGCCAAATGACCGTTTCACCGTCAGATCTTTTGTTATTTCCCTTTGTTTAGTAATTGACATTGAACAGGGAGCTGCATGGGGGATGGGTCGGCCTGTGTGTACACCGGACTGCGTCCTTCCGGTGCCAAACGGGATGGTGGGTGGCAGGTCAGTGTGGGACACCGGGCGAGGTTTGTCACTGTGGAGGATGCTGCCCGGTCCCCGACAGAGAAGTCACAGGGAGAGGAAACGTGCACATCTGGACAGCCCAGGAAACCCATCTGGAGAGAAACCTACAAGCTTGGAGAGCCGGGGAAAGGTGCTACTCAGGGAAACAGGACGACTCGACCTTGCAAGTGTGCACAGCGGGGAAAGGAGCGAGCTAATCAATGGCGACTGCCCTCCGTGATGCAGAACATTATTCCGCCCACTTCTATCTGGGCTGCTTGCCAACATGCATCTTTACTGCGGCTCGGCACCCAACAGCTACAGAAAGACAATTCTGAGAGATTTACCCTGCAGAGGGGGCTCTGCTTTTACTGACCCTCTCAGTCCGCTTTTAAGGCCAGGGTTTATCTCGGATGCAGACACAGGCTAGCTCCAGTACTCGGCTCTCTTTTGTCATGGTCCAAATTTCTTGGTCAAGGCCTAGCCAAGGTCCGGACTCCAGAAAGAACAACAAAACCGGCACAGCAAGGAGAGTTTCTGCTGTACTGGAGGGATAGCGTCGGTCTGCTCAGGAACGTCTCCCGGGCGGTGAGAGCGAGGGCACCACAGCTGCGAGGCAGCTTCCTCCGATCCTCGCTTAAAGCAGGATCCGGGTTTGGTTGGGCCCGGCCAATGGGAGGTGCTTGGAATGGGATTGCTTCTCAGACAGATAGGGTTGCCAGGTGTCCGATTTTCGCCTGGACAGTCGGGTAATTGCATCTTCTGTTCAGTAAAAACCACCAGACAATACCGGCCATGCAAAATACCGGACACCTGGTTTTCTCGGAAAACCGGCGGGGACATTTTTCCCCTGTTGCGTCTGGCGGGGGGAGCACGGAGCGCAGGAATTTAAAGGCACAGTGACCTTTTTTTTTTTCGCTCAACCAATTTTTTCCCCCACCATGTTCGGGATTTTTTGCGTAAGCATCTTGGCAACCCCACAAACAGAAGAGAGACAGAATCACCAGGCCAGTGAAAGGGGCTGGCTGGGGGTGCCCCTCACTTCTGGGACTGTCCCAGCCCCGAGCCTCCCACCCCTCCCAGGGCCCTATAGGGGCTTCAGCTTCTGTCCCCATTCATGCAGGAACATTGCTGGTTGTTCCTCTTGGTCCGGGAGCGAGGGGGAAGTGCAGTGTGCTGCATTCCTCACTCTGGCTGGGGAGCCAGGGGGCAGACGAGCTGTGCACTTTGCTCTCCTGGGGACAAAGGGAGGGGGAAAGCAACACACCCACACAACACAACACCCCCCCCCCCCCCCCCGCTTTCACAATTATTGTGAAGGACACAACACGCTGCCACCACCTGGGAGATGTGAGTGCCATCAATAGCCTCCCCTCTGCAGTTGGGGAAGCCCTTGTTGGAAAAGCCGGGAACTGACTGAAAAGCTCAGTTAACTGTTTTCCCTTTAAGGACACAAGATTTGCCCCCGATTCTTTTTGAAACCTGCCCCTTCCAATGAGCCCCCTTTCAGATGACGGCCCTATGTTGTGTGCCAGTCTCTGTGCGTTTGGCAGCTGCAGGCTGGGAGCGAGCTGGCTCACTCTGTTTCCCCTTTCGCTCGGGTGGGTTTCGACGCAGCAACAGCCGAGAGACAGATTAAAAAAAAGGAAAACTGCGCAGTGGTGGAAAAATTGGCAGGGGGGGGGGGGGGGGGGCTGGCGCCTGCTGGTAACTGTCGGAAACCAACTCATCTCGGCTCTGTCTTTACACAGAGGCAAAGAGACTCTCCAACTGGGGAAGGCCAGTCCCAGCCCCGCTGCAGCCCCAGCCCTTCCGGACCTGCCTCGGGCTGCGCCCTCAGGTAGATCCACCTCTGCTGGGTCACTGCAGGCCCTGTTCTCTGCACCAACGGGGCCCTTCTTGCCAGCACATCGGCCACAGGGCGACAGCATGAAGGGCTAAAGCTTATGCTCCCTTTAAACGCATCTCCCAGGCCTACAGTCCTGCCAAACAGAGATACGTTCTCCCCCACCCAAGCAGCCAGGGCTCGTCTTCACCCCTCTTCATCTCAGGCCAATGGCAGGAACCCCCTGGGGTCTAGGGCGCCCTTCGGGCAATAGGGCCAGAGTCCCCCTGCCTTTGAGGCCTATTTGCCCATCTCTGAACCAGTCGACAGAGCACCAGAGTGGGAGGCGGGAGACTGGTGTTTTACAACTGGCTTTGCTACAGGAGTCACAGCAGGGGCGTGCCTCAGTTTCCCCACCTGTAAAATGACGATCACAGCTCTGCCACTGACTCCCTCCACCCGCCCTTTGTCTATTTAGATGCTGAAAATTCCTCCCCAAACGCTTTGGGGCGGTGACGGTCTCTCATTACGTACAGCACCCAGCACAAAGGGCCTTGAGCTCGTTTGGGTGTGACTGTACTGCAGCTCCCCTAGCTCTGACCCACCGCACTCTCCTCTCGCCCTCCTTTTTCCTGTCCAGTTTAATCTTGAACCCTGAGGATGCTGGCTAAGCAGCCCAGGTGGTTTAATTCTGTTTGTACCATTTATAACCTCCCGGGTACTTCCTGACGGGGCTTGGGTGAGTAAGTTGCAGCCCTGCTGGGCACAGGGTGCAAAGAGCCATTTCAAATTCACGACTCCACTTGAGTTCCGAGAAATCTGCTTCAGCCAAACTGAGACCCCAAACGCAAGCAGCATTGTGCTGTGTCGGGGTTCGCCAGAGTCTCCCCGCGACAGTCACTGCAGGCCAAGCTTGGCGTAAGGAGTAAACAGCCTAAATTAAGTGTCTAATAACCCGAGGTGATCTTTAAACCGATTGCAAGAAATTGGGATGCAGGTTTCATTCTGAGCGCGTCCTAGCTAAACCCCAAAGTCTGACTATGCCAAACAGCGAGACCTCTGGGTCCTATAATCTAAACAACCGCTCTCTAGGTCACGCTAACTCCACAGTGCATAGGGAAGGATGGTCTCCCATTTAAGGAATCACGTTGGGATTCGGAAGATCTGGATTCAACACCTGATTCTGCCACCGATTGCCTCTGTGGTCTTGAGCAAGTCACTTAGTGTCTTCATGCCTCAATTTCTCCATCTGTAAAAGCGGGATTAGAACCTTTCATCTTTCCTGCTTAGAGTGTATGTTCCTTGGGACACGGGCTGCCTTAGGAATTCTCCTCGGCGCTACTTTATAACTAACGCTGGCAAAGAATTCCACAACCAGCTGGGTGTCATCAGTCACACGACCCAGTCACTAGTGTGTAATCCACTGGGGAAGGCCAGGCAAGGGGAAACTTCCACCCAAGTGGTACGTTAGCTCTAAGAGTCACACTTAGTGGCCGCTTCTGGCCAGACCCATAGAAGAATGGTGTCACCCTCCACATGTGCTTCATCAGACTCAGTTTCCCCAACATGCCCAGGTAGAGGCAGGTCTGAGCTCCAGAAACTCAACAGGCAGAACAAGGACAACAGCCGGGCTCTGTCAGGCCGGGGCCTCATTACGTCATCAGGGCACTGCTCGGCTACCCCCTACCAGCTGTGCAGGCAGGCGACCAGCTGCAAACAGCGTCCTGGCAGGGTTTTATTTTGCCTGGATGTCCTGATTTCTTTTCTTAAGTGGAGCCAAGCCAGGAAGAGACTCCCTGCTTTACGATCTCTCGCCCCTTCCCAGGCAGGCCCCGTGGGTCAGGGACGATGGTGCAAAACGGAGGCAGGACACTGGCGTGACCATGAACAGAGGGAGATGAAGAAGAGAAGCAGGGACCCACAGAGCATGGGTTAAAAAATCCCTGACCTCATCCCTCCCACGCAATTCAACCGGCTCAGCGTAAAGTCGCTGCGCATGGCAGCAACCCGTTTCCTTTGGGTGTCTCAAAGTCCACGGGCTTTGAGTTCGTCCCAGGCTCCCAAACCTTGCTCGGGAAGCCGCGAGGCTCACTGCATTGTCTCTGATGAGTCTGACTGTCCGGGGGTCTTGCAGAAGAGGGAAGAACCCAGGACAACGCACGTTGTGAAACAGTGAATTGTATCGGCACCTTAAGTGAGTCGCAACTCGCCAGAGCAGGGCAAAGGAAAAACAAAGCTGCCTTTCCCCTGACATCCGCTGAGGGAAAAGTCACATTTCATCAGAGGGCGCGGTCCAAGACTTTGGTGCCAGGGTTAATTTGCCTTGAGCTGGCAGGTTAACCCTGGCCGTTCTGCCGGGTCTCCATGCTTAGCAGGCAGCTTTTCATCCTACGCCGACACTACTTAGAGCACTTTTGCACGTAGCCCAGTGCGCCCTGCCCCGTCGAGTATTCACGTGGAAACTCCCCCCCGTGGGGGTTCTGCGCTGAGTTCGGGTGTCCCCTTTCATTTCGCAATTCACCTGCCTGTCGAGAATCAACGCTTCATTCTGAGCCCTGCTTCCGGACTGGCACTTGGACGAGTTTCACGCACCTGAAAGCGTGTTCCAGTCTGCCAAGTCAGCGCCTGTCAGAGTCTTTCCCACGCGACCGTTTTCAAGAAGCAGTAGAGCCAGGGACACGTGCTTTAGCCCACTGGGAGAACGAGAGCCCCACCTGATAATACCCAGCATGCCTTGCTAGCTCCAGGTGTTTGTAAGCTCACAGACCCTAGGAAGGCAGCATCACCTAGGCAGACAGAGCTTCAGCATACAAGGGTTCAAGTCCCAGGTTTGCCAGTTAACCTCCAGCAAATCGTTTCCCCTCTGCCTCAGTTTCCCCCGTCACACGAGGACAATGACCTACTTTGAAAGGTGTGGCTGGAAAGCACGACTGGTCCCCAATACTAATACCCAGCTCACCCAACAGTTAAAGCAGGAAAACGTCCACCCCAGAAGGTGACCGGCGTGACCCTTTCGGGTCCCTGTCAGAGCTACAGACAACTGGTTTCATACTACTTGGGAGTTGCTGATTTTCCCCTCCTGGCCGGCTTCTCCACGGATCCATTTTCAGCCTTCACGGTGACCTTACAGCCAGGCAGGCCCCTCGGCCGCAGCCTTTGGTCCAGGAGTGCCCAGCAAATCCAAAAGAGGCTTGAACGCTCAACCCGCGTCAGTGACAGCCGGTTGCGCAGAGACTGACGGGCAGACCCGGCTCAGCAGCGTGCCAGGGCGCGACCGGTCCTAGGAAGAAGGCAATGTTTTTCTGGCAGCAGCCTGAAGCCAAGCTGCTTTTTCCTGGCCGCCCCCAGGGCGCCACTTGCTTGGCTGGCTCCTTCCAATCCTTGTATCCACGTTCACAGCCAGCTGCCTAGAGAGGGGACTTAGTTCTTTTGCTTGTTTCTCTTCGCTGCGCAATGTCGAAAAGCCGCAGCCACGTTCTTCGGCGCCACAGAACAAGCGCTTTGCTCCGAGAGAGCGTGCAAACCTGCTCTTCCTAGTGAACTCGTTCTCGGTCCCCCCGCTCTTCTCCTGGACCCCCAGATCTGAACGACAAAGAAGGGTGGGGGGCAGACACCCTCAGCACCGGCGTGTATGCAAATCTACTCTGGACTTAGCAACAAGCAGCCCAAGTCTCCAGCCATTTAAAAGAGTTTGAGCCAATGCTCACGCAAGCCTCAAACCTCACGACGACACGCCCCTGGCCGAGTTCCCAGTCCCTTAAAGGCCCGGCCCCATCACACCCCCACACGATTAGAGGCACTGGAAGGAAACAGCTCCCCTGTAACAAACATCAAACCAGCTCCGGCCTTTAGTCCCTTAGGAACAGGACACAACGCAAATGCCACGAACCTGAATGTTAGAGGGATCACTGGACGATTCCCTGCTCTTCCCTCCCTCTGGGACACCTGGCACTGGCCGCTGGACGGGCCTTTGGACTGACCCCGCCTGGCCGCTCTCCGGTTCTAACTTAACTCCATCAAGTATTTGGTGACTACGGGGGAAAGGGGCCATAAATGAAGACTAGCCTCAAGGGCCACAATAATGAATTACCCCAGTAATAACCATAAGCCAACCTAAGGGGAAGGGATAGCTCAGTATAGCCTCAAAGCCACAATAATTAATTACCCCAGTAATAACCATGAGCCAACCTAAGGGGAAGGGATAGCTCAGTGGTTTGAGCATTAGCCTACCAAACCCAGGGTTGTGAGCTCAATCCCTGAGAGTTCCTGTTTAGGGATTGGAGGGCAAATCTATCAGGGATGGTGCTTGGTCCTGCTATGAGGGACTGGACCTCTCAAAGATCCCGTCCAACTCCCTGAGATAGGTATAGCTCCCTTGTGTGTCCAATGCTGCCAGACAAGAGAACCACAGAACCAAGCCTGCTGCTGTTCCCCAAATGGCCCCGCTGGCTTCAGCTTTTCCCACACTCCTGAGCCCCCTGCTTTCTGGGACCTGCCCAGCCCTGTAATCAACACCCAATGTTTAGTTACAGCTCTCAGGCTGACACCCCCTCCCCCCTCTCCTTTGCCATTAGAACTCTGGAGATCTGGGTTCAGTCCCCAGTGGGGATACACCCCCAGCAAGTCACTCAATCACCACGTGCCTCAGTTTCCCCTCTGAAATGAACATGAGGCTGCTCTACCACACAGGGGCATCGCCAGGGTAAATACATGAAGCCGTAGACACTATGGCTGTCTCTAGACTGGCCAGTTTTTCCACAAAAGCAACTGCTGTCTACACTGGCCGCTTAAATTTGCGCAAGAACACTGACGATCTCATGTAAGAAATCAGTGCTTCTTGCAGAAATACTACGCTGCTCCTGTTCGGGCAAAAGTCCTTTTGTGCAAAAGGGCCAGTGCAGACAGCTCAGATTTGTTTTGAGCAAAAAAGCCCCGATGGTGAAAATGGCGATCGGGGCTTTTTTGCACAAAAGCGCGTCTAGATTGGCCACGGACGCTTTTCTGCAAAAAGTGCTTTTAATGGAAAATCTAGACGCTCTTTTCCACGAATGCTTTTAATGGAAAAACGTTTCCGTTAAAAGCATTTGCAGAAAATCCTGCCAGTCTAGACGTAGCCTGTGGGAATGGAGACGGTAGAAGTACGTCTCCCAGTGTGGTCTGTGCTTAAGACTCAGAATGACACAAGTGGGGTGCTCAGGAAAAACCCGGCCTGAGGGCCTGGCTGCAGTTTCATTTACTCTTCCAAAAGAGCGGGCGGGGGGACATGACAGCCACCTTAGGTGCAGGGCAGGGAAGAACGGGGCTGGGCCGCCCACCGGCAGGAGGCCGCAGGGCTGTCTGGATTAATTGCAGCCAGGGTCGTTAAGCCAGCGCGAGAGGCTGTATGGACTCGGAGCCCAGTGCAAACCAGGCTGCTTGTTTCCGTTTTGTTAAAATCCACTGGGAACCGAACCAACAATCGTCTCCACTGGAATTTGCTTCATAGTAACTGAAACTGGAGCCACTTTGCCATTTCAACGAGGCCTTATGCGTTCAGGGCTGCCATGGGGCGCAGTGGGAGGTAGCTGGATGCTCTACAGGCTCTTTGGAGGTTCAAAGGGGCACGACCTGGTCTAGACCAGTGGTAGAGTCCCCTTAGGGGTACCTGAGAAAAGTCGGGGGGGGAGGGGCAACACAACTGAAATCTGGAGACAACTGAATTTTTGTGTTACGTTTTACAGCGTTTTACTATTTTTGTACTTTTTACACCCAAAAATGTCATCGCCCGCCCGGCTACGATTAAGTTGTTTAAACAAACGTGTTGCAACAATAGAAAAAATGCGTGTGTCTGAAAACTGTAGGCACTGGGTACTTCTAAGTTTTTTTTAAAGGGGGACTTTATTAAAAAAAAGGTTTAGAGACACCGGTCTAGACGGTGCTGGGTCCGGCCGTGAGGGCTGGGACTGGACTCGATGACTCTCGAGGTCCCTGCCAGCTCTAGTGTTCTAGGATTCTAGGGGCTTAAACTGCAGCCAGGGAGGTTGAGGTTGGACATTAGGAAACACGTCCCACCTGTCCGGGGGGTGAAACACTGGAATGAAGGGCCCAGCAGGTTGTGGAATCTCCATCGCTGGGGATATTGAAGGGCGGGACAGACACACACCCGGCAGGGATGGGCTAGAGCAGGGGTCACCAACCAGTCGATCGGGATCTACCGGTGGATCTTGGAGCCTCTGACAGGTGACCCTGACTGGTTTGGCCAGAAAATTATCAGGTGCTGGCTCTTCAGTTGCCTCTCCCTGCACTGTCCTGCTGCTCCTGCCTTCTGCCCCCAGGGCGCCTCCTGCTTGCTGTGCAGGGCGTGAGAGGGAGAAGAGGGGGGTGCTCATGTCGGGGTGTCCCTCCCCCCCCCACTTCTGTACCCTGTCTCCACACAGAAGGGGATGGAGGGAGTGTGACAATGCAGATCTGTCACTCTCACACTGTGCGTGTTGCTGCCACTCTCTGAAACACCCACTGGCCTTCAGTCATCTTCTGACCCCACCCGTACGTGGGGGGGTGCTGTTACTCCTTTTACCGCTTGCCAAGTGGGTCAGTCTGGGGTCGTGACTGGTCCGTGCATTTCCTCATTTTCACTGCTCTCTTACGCATCAATGTAATTCTCTGGGCAGGGAGTTCCCAGATGCCCAACCTGTCACGCCTCCAGTCGTCATCCCCGTGGGAATTGCTGCTCCTGGACGTGGCTGGCTTGTCCTTGTGGCCCCTGAGAACTGAAGAGCAGGGGGTCTCCACATGCTGTCCTTGCCTGCAGACACCACCCCTGCAGCTCCCTCTGATCGATAACGGGGAACCGTGGCCAGTAGAGGCTGTGAGCTCAGGGCCTGTAGATGAGGGCAGCACACGGCACCATGGAGGTTGAACTTCAATTGCACTTACAGGTTACGTCTACACTGGCATGATTTTCCGCAAATGCTTTTAACGGAAAAGTTTTTCCGTTAAAAGCATTTGCGGAAAAGCGCGTCTAGATTGGCACGGATGCTTTTGTGCAAAAGTGCTTTTGCACAAAAGCATCTGGTGCCAATCTACACGCGGTTTTGTGCAAAAAAGCCCCAATCACCATTTTCACCATCAGGGTTTTTTTGCACAAAACAATTCTGGGTTGTCTACTCTGGCTCTCTTGCGTAAAAGCATTTGCACAAGAGGGCTTTTTCCCGAGCAGGATAGTCAGTGTATTTGCGCAAGAACACTGACAATCTTACATTAGATCGTCAGTGTTCTTGCGCAAATTCAAGCGGCCAGTGTAGACAGCTGGCAAG